GCTCTCTTCAAACTCTCCTGATTCCTTTTGCCTCTGTAAAAAGATAGGTAATTTTGTTTAACCTACCCATATTACTCAAAACTCTGACAGACCAAGGAACAGTTTTCTACTATGGGCTAGGCAAGATTTAGTTTTTTTCTTTCTGAGTTAGAGTCTTGCTCTATCAGTCAGGCTAGAGTGCTATGGCCTCAGCCTACCTCACAGCAACCTGAAACTCCTGGGTTCAAGCAATACTCCTACCTCAGCCTCCTGAGTAGCTGAGACTATAGGTGTCCACCACAATCCTGGTTAATTTTTCTATTTTTAGTAGAGACAGGGTTTCACTTTGCTCAGGCTGGTCATGAACTCCTGAGATCAAGCAGTTAACCCACCTTGGCCTCCCAGAGTGCTAGAATAATAGGCATGAGCCACCACACCTGACCTTGGCAGGACTTTAAAAAAAAGAAAAAAGACCATAACAATCCCTTTTTCCTTATAGCGACTGCGGAGGCCTGTACCCTGTCTATGGCAAACATAACTTTCTCTGTAAGCCTATATAGTGCTCTTACTCTATAGCCTGTCTTTCTCTTTCTCAACAAACCTTGTTTCATAATTTCTGAGTTAGAAACAAAACAAAAACTAGGGTGGTACCTGTGGCTCAGTGGGCAGGGCGCCGGCCCCATATACGGAGGGTGGTGGGTTCAAACCCAGCCCCGACCAAACTGCAACAGAAAAGAGCCAGGTGTTGTGGCGGGTGCCTGTAGTCCTAGCTACTTGGGAGGCTGAGGCAAGAGAATCGCCTAACCCTAGGAATTGGAGGTTGCTGTGAGCTGTGTGACGCCACAGCACTCTACCAAGGGCAATAAAGTGAAACACTGTCTCTACAAAAAAAAAAAAAAAAAGAAGAAGAAGAAAAAGAAAAAAATAAATGGGTAAAATTAATGTTAACATTTAAAAAAAAAACTTAGATACAGTAATGTACACAAATCCTAAATGTAAACTAAACCTTGATGAATTTTACACATGCACACCTACACAATCATCCCCAGATCAAGAAGCAGACTATTTCTATCACCTGAGAAAGCTGCCTTCCTGCCCCTTCCCAGTCAATACCAGACCTCCATTCCCAGAGCTAACCACATTCTGACTTCTGTCATTTATAAGTTAGTTTCATTTGTTCTTGAACGTCATGTAAGTGAAATCATATCCTTTGTGTCTGGCTTCTTTTGGTGAGCATGTTATCTATAAGATATGCCTACAGTCATCAGAATTCAGTATTGCATTCTTTTTCTTTTTTGCCACATAGCATTCCATTTATAAATATAATTTATTTGTCCCTTTCCTATTGATAGACATTTGGGGGTTTTTTGGTTTTTGGGGGTTTTTTTGAGACAGTCTCTCTCCATCACCTTGGTAGAGTGCCATGGTGTCATCGTAGCTCACAGCAACCACAAACTCTTGGGCTCAAGAGATACTCTTGCCTTAGCCTCCCAAGAAGCTGGGACTACCTACAGGCACCAGCCACAATGCCTGGCCAGTTTTTCTATTCTTCGTAGAGATGGGGTCTTCCTTTTGCTCAGGTTGGTCTTTCACTCCTGAGCTCAAGCAATCCACTTGCCTAGGCCTCTCAAAGTGCTGGGGGATTACAAGTGTAAGCCACCAATCCCCGCCAGTATTTAGGTTATTTTAGATATGCTGAATAAAGCTGCTGTGAACATTCTTGTACCTGTCTATCGGAGAACATATGTACACATTTCTCCTGGGTACATATTTAGGAATGAAATCATCATAAATAAATATTAGTAGGTAGCAGGTCAAGATTTAATAACCTTTCCAGAGATAGGGGCTCCCAGAAAACTATATTTGAAGTGAACACCTAACTTTGGCACTTCCCACTGTATGTTAACTATCAGGTAATTGCTAAATATGATGACAGACAAGACATAGTCCTTGCCTTCAAGATGCTAACACAGTGTGCAAGACAAGAAAGAATGGAAAAAATACAATCAAGAAAATGTCTAGATTTATAGTTTCCTTTAGCTTTCTCTTCTTTTTTTTTAGATAGAGTCTCACTATGTCACCCTTAGTAGAGTACTGTGGTATCACATCTCACAGCAACCTCTAACTCCTCGCCTCAGCTTCCCAAGTAGCTGGGACTACAGGCACCTGCCACAATGCCCAGCTATTTTTTTGTTGCAGTTGTCACTGTTATTTAGTAGGCCTGGACCAGGTTCGAACCCACCAGCCTCGGTGTATGTGGCCGGCACCCTACCCATTGAGCTATGGGTGCTGCCTATATTTTTATTTTTATATTTTTGAGACAGAGTCTCAAGCTGTCACCCTGGGTAGAGTGCCATGGCGTCATAGCTCACAGCAACCTCAAACTCTTGAGATTATGCGATTCTCTTGCTTTAGCCTCCCATGTAGCTAGGACGACAGGCACCCACAACAATGCCCAGCTATTTTTGCTGTTGTTGTTGCAACTGTCATTGTTTTAGCTGGCCCAGGCTGGGTTTGAACCTGCCAGGTTCAGTGTATGTGGCCAGTGCCCTACCCACTGAGCTATAGGCACCACCTCCTACGGCTTTTTAAAACAATAAAATCCGTTTTTTATAACAATTAAATCTCACCTGAGAACTCAATATATATAATGTCCCAAAGTAGAGCTTCTCCAGCTGAAGGTGGATAAGAGTTTGGACCTGACTGCCTTTTTCTTGCCCCTGTCCTCCATCATGGGCCCTGAGGTTTAAAAACACTGGTCCTAGACAAATGTTTGTTTTGTTTAACACACACCCAGACAAGACTTACCAAGAAAGAAAGAACTTCAGGGGCTATGAGCTGCTGCATGACAAATACACCGTACTCTTTGTGCGTAGAAAGCATCATAAGATGTTCTCTATAGCTCCTCCTGGTTTATAATTACAAGAAAAGAAAAGGCTGAGCCCCGGACGTAAAGAGAGGAACAGGTATTTTCTTTTAAGTTAGATTCAACCTCAAGGTAACCACTAACCCCCATTTCCACTTTTTCCAGCTCAGGAAGAAATAGCAATTTGGATCTCACCAGATTACGGATGGAGCATCCCCTGGCTTCATGTGCAATAATTCCAAATCCGCTTTGGCCAAGATGAGGGAGTGACCATCAGGGGCCAGGCCCAGACCAGTAAGTATCCCTAAGTCCTCCTGCAGAATTCGATTCAGGTGAAGACTGTAGCTCAAAAAAGTAAATGGACAGAGAAAGATATTACTTTAATCAACCTCTCTCAGGTTCCTCAGTCCCCCACCAATTCCTCAAGAGCAAAGTATAAAGCAAAATGAATCACCTTCCCTGCAAATCCTGTTCCTCTCTGTTTTCCTTGTATTAGCACTCATCATCACCATCCAGTTATTTGATCAAACTAGAAATCTCTCAGGTTCTTATCTTTTCCTTCCCTCTCTACCTCCAGCTGATCCATAAACCCCATGGATTCAACATGCAACACATGTGTACGTCTACATCTCTCCTCATCTCCACTGTCCAGGTGAGCAACAGCTATAAAAATGGTCTCCCTACTTTTGACTACTATTCATCCTCCATATTGCCAACAGAGCTCTCTTTCTAAAAGTCCGATCATTACTCCATCGAAATTTTTAGCACTGTCTGTCCTCTACAGCCTGGGCCCAATTTATCTTTTCATACAATCCCCCCTCCTACCAGGAATCCAAGGTCTGGCCTATACTGAGAATATACCACACACTCTCATAACTCCACGCCTTCTGCTTATGCTCCTTCATTTTCCGGAAATACTGTTCCCTTCCCTTACTGATCCAGGAAAGTCCTACTCACTCTTTAAGCTATGCCACAAATATCAACCCTTTCCTACAATGTCTCCAATTTTGAAGGAATATATATGTGTTTGTGTATGCATGCCTTCATTACAGCGCTCATCATTCTGAATATTATTGATGGTTTAATTAAATGCACATACATTCCTCTGTGAGCTTTCTTAATTAAAGAATAACTTTCATAGATACATGTATCTGCTTCACACTTCCTGGTCCAGAGCCTGGCATCAAGTAGGCATTTGACAATTCATTTAAATTGACATAGCCAGAAGCAGAAAATATTTTCACTCAATACCTAGCAACCTATTGATCTAGTTCAGAAGCAGAAGTGAAGTGATCTGAGTAAAATCCCAGGGATAGGAGACTACCACTCCTATCACATTAACCCAGATGCCTTGCTTCACCTGAAATTTCTGGGTGCTGGACCCTTCTGCAGTTCCACTTGCCACTCGCTGATTTTTTCATCAGCACTGAGAACAAAGAAGGTGCGTGCCGAGTACCAGATGAGAGTACTGATGCGGCCTGGAGCCTGGTACATGCAACAAGTTCTATTTAGTATTTCTGAAAAGCCAGGATTGACCGTCTCTCCCCTTTCAGGTACATATCCAATTCCTAACCCCCGGCATGTACCATTAAATACATAGCTGGGGAAGAATTCACCCAAATTACTGAGGTTGTCCTGGCTCACCTGTGCTGTGGCCACAGCCTTAGCTTCTTGCCACAAGGTTAGTTCCCCAGTTTGATTTCCAGATACTGCCATGGAACCATCTGGTGCCCAGGCCAGAGCAGTGATGGCTGCAGAACTCCTTGGTATATGTGTGTCATCTGAAGAAGAAAGGAAGTGATTCACTGGGAGCTGAGTTGCTGCTGGGACGTAAGAAGAGAAATCAGGCTAGGAGCCTGTAGCACAGTGGTTATGGCGCCAGCCACATGCACCGAGGCGGGCAGGTTCGAGAACCCAACCCAGGCCAGCTAAACAACAATGACAACTGCAACAAGAACAACAAAAATAGCCAGGCATCGTGGTGGGCGCCCATAGTCCCAGCTACTGGGAAGGCTGAGCAAGTGAATCACTTAAGCCCAAGAGTTTGAGGTTGCTATGATGCCATAGCACTCTACCGAGGGTGACATAGTGAAACTCTGTCTCAAAAAAAAAGAGAAATCGGGTATCCCTGACATTCTTTGTCCCAGTAGCACAACCCTCTTTCATGCCTTCCCTCTCCCCATGCCTCATTCACCTGCTTCCTTAGGAACCTGCCAGAGCCGTACAGAACCATCCTCTGAGGTGGTCAGCAGGAGGCCTGAAGCTTCTGATACAGCAGCTGCACTGACTGGGCCACTGTGTCCCAATAGGGTATGTGTTTGGTATACCTAGGAGGAAGGGATAAAGATGGGCACAGGGGTGGACACAGAAGAAGGTTGTCCCACATGACTTCCACTTCTCCCCCTAGCCCAGTCCTTGCAGAGAACTCACCAGGAGTGGATGCCACAGCCGTGTGGTCCCATCCAGTCCAGCAGTCACCACCAGGAGCTCTGACCCAGCCTGTCCAGCTGATAAGACACAGAGACTGAGTGGGAAGAAGGAGGGGAAAGGGAAGAGACAAGGCAGGGTGCAGTGCCTCATGCCTGTAATCTTAGCACTCTGGGAGGCTGAGGCGGGCAGATTGCTTGAGCTCAGGAGTTCAACACCAGCCTGAGCAAAAGAGTGAGACCCTGGTCTCTAAAAATAGCCAGACATTGTGGTGGGCGCCTGTAGTCCCAGTTACTTGGGAGGCTGAGGCAAGAGGATCTCTTAGACCCAAGAATTTGAGGTTGCTGTGAACTATGAAGCCACAGAACTCTATTAAAGGTGATAAACTGAGACTCTGGCTAAAAAAATATAGAAAAGAATAAAAGAAAAGGGGAGGGGCAGCACCTGTGGCTCAAAGGAGTAGCGCACCAGCCCTATATGCTGGAGGTGGCAGGTTCAAACCCAGCCCCAGCCAAAAAAAGAAAAGGGAAGAGGCAGCGGGGAAGAGAATGTGCCTGACATTCACTACCTGCACGGGGCTCCAGGGAAGCTGCACAGTGGCTGATGGGTCCTGAGTGAGCAGGGATGCTGGTCAGCTCCACGCCCTGATGGTCCCACACTTTTAAGGTCCCATCCCGGCCCACAGACACCACGTGCTCCTCCTGCCCCCAGAGTACAGAATGAGAGCAGGGTCATATCAAGCAAGACACAGCAAGTACAAGAAATAAGATTCCCCCCATAGAGGTGAGGGCTGGGTGTCAGGGGCTTGGAAGGTGTCAAGAACAGAAGTGACCTCAGAAACAGTGGGCTTGGGTGGCTCAGGACTGCAGGCCTGCCTCAGAGTCATGATACTAAGATGCTGTGTTTTCATGTTCCCCCCTCTCTCTCCTTAGCCTCCATACCACAGTCCCATCCTAAGGATGTCATTCTTTATACTCCTTTTGCCTTTGGGGTTAGATACCCCAAAAAAGTTGTCCCAGATGACTTCCACTTCTCCCCCTACCCTAGTCCTTGCAGTGTACCCAGTCTCCCAAAGGAACCCCTAGCCCTTCCAGAGAGCCCCAGCAACCTCTCCATTGCCTTCTCACCACAGCCACCACGGCGCTCACAGCACTCTGATGACCCAGGAATTGACCAAGCCGCTGTCCCGACTGTGGGTCCCAGAGCCCCACAGAGCCATCACTGGAGCAAGAGATCTGCAGAGCCAGAAGTCAGAGGAGTGAGATTATCAGTATCCCTCCAGCATTTCTGTATGTTCACAACACAGAGTAGAAGGCAGTAAGCCTTGTGATTAAGAGCATGGGCTCTCCTGGGTTCAAATCCTAGGGCTACCACTCATTACTTTGTGATTTGGAGCAAGTATCTCTCTCTGAACCTTAGGTCTATCAACTATTTAATGAAGATAAACTGAGGACAGGTGTAGTAGCTCACGCCTATAATCCCAGCACTCCGGGAGGCCGAGGCAGGTGGATTGCTTAAGCTCAGGAGTTCAAGACTAGTCTGAGTAACAGCAAGACCCTGTCTCTAAAAAATAGCTGGGCACCTGTAGCCCCAGCTACAAGAAGGCTGAAGCAAGAGGATCTCTTGAGCTGAGTTTGAGGTGGCTGTGAGCAAGATGCCATGATACTCTACCAAGGGAACAGAGTGAGATTCTGTCTCAAAAAAAAAGAATATAATCTGATACTGCTATTGTGGAGCTAAGTATAACATGCTTCCTGGCACACAGTGAGTATATAATAGTAACAGTAGCTGTTATCCGTGTTATTAACATAATGTCAACTGAGAAATCCACATAAAGGTAAAAAATCTGTATTGCCAAGGAAAGATCTGGCTGCCTAGGAGGCAGGGGTAGGATAGATTATGACAAATCTATTCAACTGCTATTCATTCTTTTCTCCTCTCTTTTGAGAATTTAGAGACTCTGCCTTGGGAAACTAAGCTTCCCCCATCCCGAGCGCATAATTTGAGACTCATTTTGTGCCTTAAGGCCAAAGAAATCACAGCAATACCTTTTACCTGCAAGGCCAGGGCATCTCAAGCCCTAGAGGGACAGTACTGTGTTCTTGTTAAGAGCATGGACTTTCTTATAACAAAGTTCACTAAGCCCAGCTTTATCACTGACATGACCTTAGAAACGTTCTTTATTCTGTCTGAGCTCAATTTCCTTGTCTGTTAAACAGAGATGAAAATAATATCTACTTTACAGGGTGCTGTAAAGATTAAGTGAGGCAATTTATGCAAAGAGCATAGTTCAATGCCTGGCACATAGTGCTCAACAAATGTCAGCAATTACTATTATTAATGGGTACCAGAAAAAGGATGAGGTGGGGAGCATTGTAAAGGCCAAGGAACCCTGTGAGGCTGTGCCACCCCTACCCCTTCACTCACCAGTAGGTTGTCTTTGGTCCACGCACAGCCAGTGACCCAGTCACGGTGACAGGAAGGGAAGGAACAAATCATAACAGGGGTTTTGGGTGTCCTCACATCCCAGCAGAGGAGATTCTGGATGAGCCAAAGGAGAGGGAGCACTCAGGACCATAGAAGGAAGATGGGAACACCAGGGCCATTTCAGACAAGAAGTTTCCAGGAAAGAGGGAGTGCAAGGAAACACCAACAGACAGATCCACAAGAGATACGGCAAAGCAAAATGCAGGAGGAAACAATGGGGAATTGGCCAGTAAGAAGTCTAGAAACCAGAGGGGCTATGGGGCTCAGGGGCTACTCCCTCTGCAGCTCACCTGATCCCTGCCCCCAGTGGCCAGTCTGCTTCCATCAGGGCTGAAGCTACAGCAGCTCACAGGGCCGTCATGTCCCCGGAGTTCAGTTCCATAGGGAAAGTCTTCTGCCTTGTGCGACTGCATCAGCAACTGCCTCGGCCACAGCCGCACCGTGAAGTCCTCTGCATTGGAAAGAGAGAGAGGAAGGCTTCCTCACAGAGGAAACCAACAGGCCTAGGAGGCCAAGGACAAAGGCAATCATGGGGGCTGAAGGTGACATCTGAAGGCACAGCACCAAGGGAGGGGTGCGAAGAGTTACAGGCCATGGAGAGACCTTGGATGACGGTCAGTCATCACGCCAGTACACAGGACAGGAGCACCTAGCACTCCCAGCTCTGTCTCCACAGCCATCTCTATCCGTCTAGTGCACTTCCCATGGTGGCCTCTCCAGATGACCCACCCCCCATCTTCTCAAGTGCCCAGTGTCACCTCTACCTCACTTTCTGCAAGGACGAAGCCTCCTACCTAGGGAGAGCCAAGGCCATTCTGCACTTTCACCTCTCTCCTTCCAAGGGAAACCTGTCTCTTACCCAGCAAATCCCCCACCAGGCAGAAACTCAAAGGTTACTGGGAGTTTAGGATGAGGGTTAGGGAATGAGAAGCAACCCTTTAGACTGATTATGCTATAAAACAAAATCCCACACGTATGTGTGCATGTGTGTAACACATGTACACATAAACAGAAGAAAGGTATTAGTGTGTTGAAGGGGAACAATAATTCAGTAACCCTGCCCACTGTCCCACAGTACCTGAGGCAGAAGCCAAGAGCTCCTGGGAGGTGGCCAGTCCCAGCACGGACTTCTGGTATCTGGACAGGAGCCAGAGGGACTGAAGGGAGCGTTCCTTGAGTGTCCAGCCCTGCAAGGACCCATCTTCTGCGCCACTCACCAACACCCTGGGGCTTAGCCAGGCTAGTGCGGACACTGCCACATTCAGTGCTTGGCACTGAGCCTCCTGGGAACCTAGAGAATGAGAGAGAACGAGGCAGTAAGATACTAGGAAAGAGGCTGGGAGGTAGGGGGTAGCTTCCATCCAAAGGCTCAAAAACCCATCCATTCCCCTTGGGTACCTGAAGAAATTTTGTAGATCCTAATGCCATCTGCTCGGTACCCAACAGCCACCTGATCACCATCTGGGCTGAGAGCCACGGAGAGGGCAGGAGAGAGAGAAAGGGAGCCCAGGTATCCACGGGGCCGACCCAGAGACCCTGACCATACCTGAACCTGGGGGCAAGAAAAGGGCTTAAAGATCTCTCATCTCCATCCCCTGGCCCTCCCCCAACCCCAGAACTACAGCTACTCTTCTCGTGAGTTCCACCATCGGAGCTCCTGCCTGGTCTTCTCAACAGAGGCCCCCACCCTCGCCTGGATACTCCCTGCCTTTGCTATCCCCTCTTCTATCCCACCACCAGCCCTCGGGAAACTGACCTTGCCATCCTCTCCAGCTGTCAGTAACTGGCGCCCCTTACTCAGGAAAAGTGCAGCAGCAACAAAGCCCTGGTGGGCAGGGAAGGCTGCCAGTCGTGCCCCCTCTTCCCAGGCCCACAGCTCCACCGTCCCGTCCAGCCGGCCTACGGCCACAACCCGCCCAGCCACACTGAAGGCCAAGGTTCGGACAGAGGGTCCTGTGGCCCCAAGCTCCTACATAGGAAGATTGAATTAGAGATGTCAGGGCCCACTCTCAGCATAAGCCCAAAGTTAGCCAGAATGCTGATATCTGTCATTCCCCACTCTCCACTCCAGTCCTCCTGTGTTTCTTCCCCCAGAGGAACACAGACCCTTCTTACCTTGGTGATTTTGAGCCCATCCACTTGGAAAAAGCTGAAGCTGCCAGCCCAGCTGCCTGTAGCTACTACCTGTCCTTCTGGATGGAAGGCAACACAGTTCAGGGACTTGGGACTGGTGTACTGGAAGGCCAGTTGCCCACGGACTGTGTCCCACAGCTGGAGGAGAGAAAGAAGGAATTGGGGTGCTGAACACAAGAAGGCTGAACTCCTCCAGGGTCCTCTTGGTCCTATGCCCTGCCCTCAGCTGCCCTCATGGTCAGCAGTTAGTACCCTCTGCCATGCTGAGAGAACAACCTCAAAGGGCTGACTCACAGTTTAGGGTCACTTTTTCCAATGCAGTCACCTCCAGGCTGGGTAACCTGTGTCCTTCTGGATCTTTGAGTGCAGCATGGTTCAGCCTTTTGACTGAATCCAAATTTTACAAAACAAGTCCTTTTTTTTGCAACAGAGTCTTACCTTGTTGCCCTGGGTAGAATGCCATGGAGTTATACCTCACAGCAACCTCAAACTCATCTTCTTGCTTTGGCCCTCAAGTAGCTGGAACTACAGGTACCTGCCACAACACCTGGCTAGTTTTTCTATTTTTAGTAGAGATGAGGTCTCACTCTTTCTCGGGCTGGTCTCAAACTCCTGACCTCAAGTAATCCACTTGCCTTGGCCTCCCAGAGTGCTAGGATTATAGATGTGATCCACTGTGCCCAGCCACAACAAATCCATTTGATAGTCTTACCTTTAGGCATCCTCCCAGGCACACAGTAGCCAGCAGCCGGCAGTCTGGGCTCAGGCAGCAGCCAGTGATTTGGTACTGGTGAGCCTTGGTCTGGAGTACCCTAACCCAGGAAGACAACATTAGACCCTGGGGGGGCTTCCTCCTCATTCCTTTTCCCTCAGGGCTTCTACGAAATGGGGAAGGCCCTCACTCCAAGCTGTGGAGCAGGGACACCTTACCGGCAACCATGCTGCAGGTACCAGAGCTCTAGGAGCCCATCAAAGGCAGTAAGAAAGAGTGCGTTGTCTGAGAGGAAGGAACAAGTGGAGATTCCATCACAGCCACTCACCACAGACTTCTCCTCCTGTAAAAATAAATGTGGAAGCACAACTCAGGCCTCTCCGTTCCCTCCATGTTCTGCTATCCCTGGCTCCAGCCAAAAAGGAGGCCAAGGCAAGAAGGGCTTGAGCCTTCAGCTCTCTGCATCCTCAGCCTCAGCACAGGTTTGAGTAGGGCCTCCTGACCCAAGTAGGGCCAAATCTTCTACCTCACTCCAAACCCATACTTATTCCCCAAGTAACCAAAGACTTCTGTGGGTCTGAGAAAATGAGATTATATGTGTGCACACATATGAGTAGGGGATTATATGGGTGGGAAGGTGAGGGAGAGGCTATGGCTCTAGACCTCACCTCTCCAGCCTCATCTATTGTTACCCTCCATCAGCACCCTCTGCTGCAATACTTCCCCAGCAATTTACAGGGAACACTCCCCACCAGGCCTTTGGTCATGCTCTTCAACCCAGGACGTCTGCCCTTCTCCATCCTAGGTCCTCCCATAAGTACACAAATCTTACAGCTCCTACTACGGTGTTTCCCCGAAAATAAGACACTGTCTTATATTTATTTTTTCTCAAGTAGACACACTAGGGCTTATTTTCAGGAGATGTCTTATTTTTAATTAAGTATAATACAACAATCTACATTTATTCAAATACAGTTAAGTCATCTTCTTCTGGAACCCCACAGGGGGAGCCGACCTTGTTGGTGGGGCCAGGGCTAGTGATGCGTGAACTCCTTTCCCCTAGCCGTTCGCACGTGTGTAATAGGATGCCTGCGACTGCGGTTACCACACCGCACCTGTGCAAGTGTGAATGGCTCAGAGAAAGGAGCTAGGACAGATAAAAGGTATTCCAGTCTTCCTTATCGCTCTGCACCTAAATGCATGGTGTGGCTATGCAGATTTTACCTTGCATGTCTTATCTGCCAACAAAATTAACCAGCTGGTGGGCAATGACAATTGTCCTAAACCCTATATTCCTCACAGTGTTTACCACAGTGTCTTAAATGGAAGGTGTGCAGCAAACATTTGCTGTGTGATTGATGTTTTTGACCAGGTCCTTTGATCTGATATGAGGGAAATAAAATTGCTGAATCACTCAGGGCAGTAATAGGTGGGTTTGGACTGTATAAGGCTTCAGGGAAGTCTATTAAGGATTTTCTCAAGGTCATTTCTACCCTATCTTGATTGTCATACCTGCCAAGTTCTTAGATCCAACAGGTAAACTGTCCCATTGGCAGTGCCCACAGCTGCTCTTTGCCCATTGGGAGCAAAGGCCACAGCGGTGGGGAATGAGGAAACCGTTAGAGACAGGCTGGAACTAGAGAAAGCATCGGAAGAAAAGGGAGGAAATTAGGGGAAGAAAGCACACAGGAGTCTATTTCTGCATTTCTGTGCCTAAATCTCCCTTGCCTTGGTGATTCTGGTTTGTCCTTATTCTCTAGTTTCAGAAAGGACTACAGCTTGCTCTCTGGTGGGCTTTCTAGGGTCTGGGTCAAGGGTCTTACTTTTGCTGATCCCCTATAGCCTGGGGTTTATTAAGCCATCGTAGCATGTGCTGGATGTGCCAGCGCTGGGAGAGCAGGGGGGCCTGGCGGCAAAGTGGTGAGTCAGGAGGCTGGTTGGCTGCCTGCTGAAGCAGGAGTAGGGGGTACTGGTTGAGGATTGAAGCCTGCTGCCTCAGAAAGGCACAAAATACAGCAACATCTGCCTCTTGTTCCTCTTTGGGGACTGAAGAAGCTATAAGAGAGATAAAGTGTCACCAGGGAGCCAGCCTGGACCCCATTAACCCCAGCAACAAATAAAATCATTATGGTGCATCTAAAATAGTTAAGTCTTAAAATGTGGCCCTGTGGCCACATATCAGGAATGCCTGTTAAATGTACAAAGCTTTGGGCCCCACTCTAGACCTAGGGAAGAGAATTCGGGGATTCCATTTGAAAAAACTGCCCAGATAATTTTGTTCTGTTGTTTGTTTGTTTGTTTGTTTGTTTTGAGACAGAGCCTCAAGCTATCCACCCTGGGTAGGGTGCTGTGGCATCATGGCTCACAGCAACCTCCAACTCCTGGGCTCAAGCGAGTCTCCTGCCTTCGCCTCCCAAGTATCTGGGACCACAGGCGCCCACCACAACGCCTGGCTATGTTTTTTTTTTTGGTTGCAGCCATCATTGTTGATTGGCGGACCTGGGCTGGATTCGAACCCACTACCTTAGGTATATGTGGCTGGTGCCTTAGCTACTCGAGCCACAGGCGCCAAGCTGATAATTTTTTTTTTAAAGATTTTTAAAGCACTGATATGTGAACAATTTGTCTATGATGTTCCTTGATGTAGGTTTTTGGGTTTTTTTTGTTTTGTTCTGTTTTTTAGTTTTTATTGTTGGGGATTCAGTGCGGGTACTGCCCAGATAATTTTATGCTAAGTAAAGTTTGAGAATCTCTGATTGAAGAGATCTAGGCAAAAATTCTCCTGAGAATCACTTGTTCACCCTCTTGACATATTCAATTCGAAATGGGAAATTGACTGCTTTTTCCCATTATACCTCCCCCAAGAGAACACTCTGGAAACCACCCAGTCACTCATCTCACCATAAAGGGCATGAGCCTCCAAGAGCTGAGAGACCAGACCCAACTCCAGGTGTGCCGTCAACACGTGGAGATTGGTAAGGAACTTCGAAAGAAGGCCAAAGTTCCCACTCTGAAGCTGAAAAGGTTAGATCGGGTTCATTAGGAATGAGAAGAGGCTGATGAGGAGGAATACTCTAGTTTAAGATTCTGCCTATGTAGCCAGGACTTTGACTCAGGGGACAAAGGCCTTCAAGGAGGGCTGGAAAACAGAAAGAAGAGGGAGTTTGGGAGCAGGGTAATGGCAGTGGTGGCAGGGAAAGTGGTAAAGGGGAGAAGGGTCTCAGAATAGCCAAAGCAATTGCTTGGGAAAAGGTGTTTGTGGGGTCCAGGGACAAACCAGGTGGTAAGGCAGGTCTCCCAGAGCCTCACGAGGACAATTTCGGAAGGTGCCTGAGGCATCAGGGTCACATGTCTTCCAGAGCTGAGCTGTAAGAACAGACATTGGGAAGGGCTCAGACCAACAGCATCCCCCAAGAGCCTATCACAAAAGCCATGGGAAGAGACATCACACACTGGGGTGGCAGATGAGGCGGCCAACAGATGGGGAGCCCCAGTTGGGGGTCTGACTTCTAGGTCCAGGCCCTTCACTCAGTGCCTGGGTTGACATGGGCTGCAGTCACCTGCAATGAGAATGTGTGCTGTGTCCTCCAGCCCTGGCCTCTTCCCATAACGACATTTAGCTGCTGTTCTCAGGGGCCCATCAGGGAGACAGAGTCGGGCACCAGGTCGCTCCAGAGGGCCTTCCCCTAGCAAACTGTTCTCACATGAGGGAGGAAAAAGAAAGAGGGAAAAGAAGGAGTGTGTCTGTCAGCAAGCATCCTGACACAGAAGTGGAGCTCCCATTCACACCTCCAATAGTGGTAACTAGAGCACCAGACCACGCAGGCTGTGGAGACAGGTGTTGGGGCCACACGTGGGGCCCTGGATCAAAGATAGGAAGGCACAGGAGGTTGTTGGGAGCACAGTTAGGGGCATCTGTACCTGCGCAGACTCTGAACGAGGTAAGCAAACGGGCCCATGGGGTAGGGCTCTCCACTGTTACCAGCAGCCACTGCTTCTTCCCAGACCTTGGTCCCCTTGGGTAGTAACCGCCATGCACTCAGCACTGCATGCAGCTGGTCCACAGTCAGACCTGAAAACCCGAATTCTCTGAAGCCTCACCTAACCACACCATGCACCCCTCTCCACACACCTGGTCCCTCTCTGCACAGTTTGCTGAGACTCCAATGGAACCAGGTCATCTGATCCCCAGGCCCTCAGTCTCCCAACCCGCTCTAACCACTGACCACTATGTGTGGCCTCAAGGGTGGCCAAAGACTGGGGAAGGATGTCGGGCCCATGCTCTTGCTCCAGGGTGCTCAGGATGTGCTGCAGCAGCAGGGGCACAGTGGCAGGCAGGGTCCGGAGTCTTTCAGACACCTAGCATGGTAGGGCAGGGCTTCAGTCAGAAGCAAGAAAAACAGCTTTGGTTGTGGGGTAGAAAGGGGCAGCAGAGGGCACAGTGGGATGGGATGAAAAAGTAAAGAGCAGCAGTGGGAGAGAAGTGAGGTTGGGCAGAGGAAGATGGTGAGAACGGGGATGAAAAGGAGACAAAGAAGGTGAATGAATGGGCAATGGAATTAGGACCTGTTCATACAGAGTGAAGAGCCTCAGGTGATCAGTGACCAGGCGCAGGTAGAGTGGCAGGCCTGAGCCCCGCTTCACCAGCAGCAGCCGCATCTGATGAAACCCAAAGAACCAGTGTGGGCACCAGGGAGCCTGCCCATAGCCAGCCCCTGCCCCAGTACCAGGCCCACTGCAAGGCAACTCTCCCTGGCCCAAGAGTTCCCAGCAGGGGACAGGCCCATGGTATCATCTCAGGACACAATCTTCCCTTCCCCACACCATTCTGCCCAGGCAGCCCTTGTCAGGGAAACCCATGGCCCAGTCTACCACATTGAAAACCACCACTTTACACATCTGCTCACCCCAAGAGGCCCTGAGGGGCCATGTACCAGGGGGAAAGGCTGAGTAATGTTATCAGGAATCACAGTTATCTTGTTAATAATTTCCCTGGCACATAATTTCTGAGAAAGGTTTCTCAGCCCACTCACCCACCAGCCCTGGCCTAGATCCAACCTGGTTGTTAAAAGGCGACTCCTCCAGCCGCTTTCCATACAGAGCCAGCTCCTCTCTCACCAGCTGGGCCCGGGCAGATGGCTCCAGAGGTCCTAAGGGCACCACATGGGCACCCTGGCTTTGCTCAAGTGTCTCTCCCAGGCCTGCGTCACTAGACACGCTCAGCACCAGGTGTACCCACTGTGAAATTTGGGCAAAGGGGCAGGAAGGTAGAAAGAAAACCATTAGAGAGGCCCTATCCTCTCTACCACATCCCTCCTTCTCAGCCTGCCTCCCACACCCACCTCCTTCTCTCACTCACCCGGGGAATGTTCTTTGGGATCCAGTCTGAGATCAGCTGCCCATTCTGGTCCACCAACCTGTCAGCCCCATCGATGATCAGGACCAGAGCCTGGGCAGGTTGCAGGCACTGAGCAGACCTGGGAAGCAACTGCTGTTGCAGCTCCCACACTAGGCCTCTGCACATAGAGGGAGGACAGAGTTAGTGAGAGAGAAACACCAGGGCAATACCATGGGGCACCAGAAAGGCTGGGCCACAAGAAGGTACACACCTGTAGGTGCTGGGGAGGGCACTTGGTTCTTTCAGCTGGCTATGCAGATAGGTACAGAGGCGTCTGAGCAGTGTGAGGGCAAGACCCTGGTCAGGGCGGGCCCCTGAAAAGTGGAAGAAGACTAAGGGGGCCACCTTGGCCCCATCAGGAACCTGCAGTGCTGACACAAGGGACGCCTGTAGAGGAAGAAACAGAGAACAAGGTCACGTTATACATGCATGAGGTCCATGTGCCCCAGCTCCTTAGTCCACATGATCCTTCTTTCCCCCGACCCTCCTGCCCAGGCCCCTGTGACTCAGTACCAGGAAAGCCGTCTTGCCCTGTCCTGATTGCCCAGTCACGAGGCTCAGTCCCCCGCGGGGCAACACCAGCTGCTGTACTGTGTCCTGAAGAAGGCGTGGTCGGGCAGAAGTCTCTGGCTTCTGTAGCTGTTGGAAGGTGGTCTGGACCAAGTCATCATCTGGGATGGACATTGGCTGCTCCAGCTGGGCCCCAGGCTGAGGGCACATGGAACAGTGACTTTTCATAGTACCATGTTTCTCAGAAACTCCCAGGCCTAAAACTCTTAGAGCCCACACCAAGTTACTTCCTCCCCAGGACTACCCAGACCACCCTCCTCTTCTCTGGCCTTTCGCACTCCTGCTGACCTGTAGGTAAAACTTCTGGATCATATTCCACACATCCTGAAGAACCAGCTGCCCGAACTCCTCCAGCCCCCCAACATAGGGTCGGCCAGCTGCTACACCACCCCACTCACAGGGGTATCTGTGGGCAGAGCAAGCATAAGCAGAGTCAGAACAGGCCTGGCTCCCCCAGCACTTCTCTCTGGACAAATACCCTCTACGTCCCCAGCGCACCTGCGGCAAGTAATCTCTTTCTGTCTGCTCAGGTAGCTCTTCAGTTCTGAGATCCGATGTGCAGCCTCTTCAGACTCAGAAATAAAGTCAGATTTCCAGGCATCTGGCACAGAGCTGACCACGAAAGACCCCAAAAGTGGGGCTAAACTCAGACCTCAGCCTCCTTCCACTAATCAGACATTGTCCATGGGCACACAGAGTAGTGATCTCATGACTTCAGCTCCAAGGCTGATTTAGGGCTGTAAAGGCATGCTCTCTGAGTCCTGTTTCTTATAGTGTTCCCCTCATATACTCTGAACGTTGGGGAAAAAAGAATGGGTCTACCTGGATTTTGAGGAGGAGGATGACCTGACCATGGAGGCCACAAAAAGTACCTGAGGAAGCTGGAATCCCGGAAGTAGATCAGAGCTGGGGCAGAGGGCTGCAGGCATTGGTCCCGACTCAGGAACTGCATCACTTCCATCTCTGTCACAGAGCGCCCTGAAGGGTACTGCTGAGCCTGCAGTGAGGACAAACACTAGAAGGCTCAGTCCTAGGTCACACTGACCCCTCCCTCCAGACCTGCTGGGAGGACCCCAGTGCTCCTTCATCTCAGCTGTGTTCCTCCCTCCCTCACGCCCTCCAGACACAAACAATAAAATATACTAATAGCCAACATTTATAGAATGCTTGTCATGTATTACACAATCTTTTACAGATTTTTAATTCTGATAATAATCCTATGGTATAGATGTCATTGCTTCCCTTTAATATATGGGCAAATTGAGGATAAGTTAGATTAAGCTGCTTCCCACAAAGCCACACAACCTGCAGATAACAGAAGGGAAAGCAGAACCCTGATCCATCTTATGGCAATACCAAAACAGACCTACCTACTAACCCCAGAGGGATTTCTCAGAGGAATTTCCTCACCTAGGACTTGGCCACACAGTATCTTCTGCCTGTGTTTCACTTTAGGTCTCAAGGACCTGCTAGTATACAGTCCTAGGGTTCCTTACAAACTGTGGCTTCTTCCTACCCCTACCCTCCTCCGATCTCATCTGCCTTACCCAGTGGAAGTGTGGATGGTCAGGAAGGTTGTAGCTGGGGGGAACGTAGCCATAGCGGGAGCCCAGGATCCCCACAAACAGCTGTGAGTTCTCCACCTCCCCGAGGCATACTTCCAACTGTCTGTAGGCATGGTTACAGGGACATGCAAGAGTCACTGGGAGCATATTTTTTTGTTTGTTTGTTTTGTTTTGTTTTTGTAGAGACAGAGTCTCACTCTATCGCCCTTATTAGAGTGCCGTGGCATCACACAGCTCACAGCAACCTCCAACCCCTGGGCTTAAGCAATTCTCTTGCTTCAGCCTCCCAAGTAGCTAGGACTACATGTGCCTGCCACAACACTCAGCTATTTTATTTGTTGTTGTTGCAGTTCGGCCAGGGCCAGGTTGGACCTGCCACCCTCAGTATATGGGGCCGGCGCCCTACCCACTGAGCACTGCCTTGGGGGCATGTTTTAAGAGAGCTCTCACCCTCATCCACTCTTGCAATCCCAACCCTGCCCACCTCACTGCCAGCACTCACACACCTGGTCCCTGACCCAGCCCCTCTTCTCTGTGGCCCCCACACCTGTTCTTCCGGGTCTCCTCCTCAGTGACGCCCCAGCGCAGGTCAATGCCATGAACAGTGATGCGGTGGGGAGCCGCCCGGGCCTGCAGTGCTGGCAGCACGGACCTCAGCAGCAGGTCCCGCTCCCCGTGCATATCTCGAAATGTGGATGAAATAAAAAGCCGGACGCTGCGCCATCTGGAGTTTAAGCAAAAGGCCGGGCTCAGTCTAGGGATCAGCTCTCCCACCCAATCCATAGTCACTGCTGTGATCACCCTTCAACACTGACAATGAGCCAGGTATGACAGACAGCCCACAGGTGCTCTACAGGCCTCCAGAGAATAACCTGGTCATAGTCTCAACCACAGTGCCCTAGAATTTAAACCCCACTTACCATTTCTCGTGCACTCTTCCTTTTTCAGCTAATCATTATTATGAACTTACTATTGTTCAAGACAATGCTTGAGGTAAGCATTATCCATTCTTGACCCATTTTACTGATCAAGAAATTACAGTTTTGGCTCGGTGCCTATAGCTCAAGCGGCTAGGGCGCCAGCAACATACACCACAGCTGGCAGACTGGAATCCAGCCTGGGCCTGCCAAACAACAATGTCAACTACAACTAAAAAAAAGCCAGGCATTGTGGCAAGCACCTGTAGTCCCAGCTACTTGGGAGGCTGAGGCAAGAGAATTGCTTAAGCCCAAGAGTTGGAAGTTGCTGTGAGGTGTAATGCCACGGCACTCTACTCAGGGTGACAGCTTGAGACAGTCTCAAAAAAAAAATAAAGGGAGGCGCCTGTGGCTCAAAGGAGTAGGGTGCCAGCCCCATATACCAGAGGTGGTGGGTTCAAACCCGGCCCCGGCCAAAAAAAAAAAAAAAAAGAAATTACAGCTTTAAGAAATTAAGCAACTAGTCCAAGAATCAACATAGTGCTTGGCAAAGCCAGAATGAAAAAGCCAGAACCTGTGCTCCTAAGCCACCTGCCTAAGCCCTGGCTATGGTTGAGATATTTGCTACCCTCCCTGCATTCTAACTTCCTTTCCCCACTAAAGAAAGGAGCTTGTTCACAATCTGAGAACTTCTTTTGCTAGAGAAACCTCTGCCTCGGAAAGAAGAGATTAAACCCCAGAGAAAAGAATAAGCAGGATTTCAAAAGCCAGAGTTTCAATCCCAAAGCTCCTCTAGATTTTGACTGCAGCCTCTTCCAATTCACAAAAGCATAGAAATATAGACTGACCCTTGCTGGGAAACAGAAGCCAAGGGGCTTGGAGTATCCTCTTCCAATGGCCGGAGAGACAAGACCCCTATCTTTCCTGGTGGTGGTGGAATCTTGAATATTTTGTCCATTTGACCCACATGTTCCAGAAGACGGGAGGCCCCACGCTCTGCAATGAATCTGACATAAATAGCAACAAAATAAATAAGAGTAGAATACCAAAGGTCAGAATCCAAGAGGGCAAGGGGGGACAAAGATATGGCCAGGTTAGGTCACCCAGTTAACCGAAACCCCTTAAAAAGATGAACATGGGCAGTGCCTGTCGCTCAGTGAATAGGGCACTGGCCCCATATACCAAGGGTAGGGGGTTCAAACCTGGACCCGGCCAAACTGCAACAAAAAATAGCCAGGTGTTGTGGCAGGCACCTGTAGTCCCAGCTACTCAGGAGGCTGAGGCAAAAGAATTGCCTAAGCCCAAGAGCTGCAGGTTGTTGTGACCTGTGACATCACAGCACTCTAGCGAGGGCGACAAAGTAAGACTCTGTCTCCAAAAAAAAAGATGAACATAAGCAGACTTAAAATAAACAAGGCTGCAGAACCATAGAAACAAAGAGAAGAAAGCCAGCACTAGCCTCTCTTGCTGTGCATGGTGATCACAGGCTTGGGCAATGGACAGGTGATCTAGACTGATGTGTAAAGATTAAAGCCATTCTAGTCTGGGATTTATCAGCTCTTTACCAGCCAAAAAAGTTCCCTGGAAAAGGAAGAATGTGCACAGGGCTTCCTAAAAGAAGTTAGGAAGGCAACAGCCAAAGGAAAAGACGTGAGAGAAAACAAGTAAATGAGAGGCTAAGGGTGGAGAGAGAGATAAAATAAAAAGACTTCTGTAATTTGCATAAATATATGTGATTTTTCTCTGGATCAAAAACTAAAAAGAAGCCACATGATGTAAGCAACTCTTGAGTTGTTCCCTTAAAAACAAACAGTGCAATCTCCCATGTCCCTTTTCCTCTTTGTTATCGGATAGAATACAAACTTGGCTGGATAGAAAGATGGCTGAAATTGAAGCAGCCATCTTGAGCTCTGAAGTACATGAGGATGATGGTGTGGTAAGACAGAAAGGGCCTGAGTCCCTTTGGCATTGTGCCGGCTGCTATGCCTGGACAGGTGTAAAAGAAGAATAAACTATGTTGCTTAAAAAAAAAAAAAAAAAAAGAATGAAGTAGGGACCAGATATTCCAGAAATATTTTTTAAAAATCCCCACCCCCTTCAGTGTCCATCCTGTACTCACTTCAATATCCCATCAGTACAGCCTGATAGCGTCACATCATTGGGATTTGAATCTGACGATCTAGCAAAGGGAAGAAGCAGTCACTAACCATCAGAAACAATGCCTGGAACAGAGTCGCTGCCCACTAAACCCTAAAATGGACAAATCCACTTGTGCACCTTAAATAGGGTTGTATGCTAGGCTGGAGACTTCAGAGAAGGTTGTAGCATCTGAAGTGCAACAGACACAAGAACAGAGTTGGGGAAGCACCTGGCGAGTGGTAATATCCCACATTTTGCCAGGGGTAGAGAGGAAATATGGATTACAACTTCAGGCACTGGGCAGGGAGCATAAGCATCCTTACATGTATCTTTCTCTCTTTAAGAGGACGCCAACAAAGAGGCACTTGGAATTCACGTGCTGCCAGAAAAGTTCTTTGGCCACATTTATCATTTGCTCATCCATTGTTTCACCAAAAAGGATGACCCTGTCCACCTGTAGGATGGAAGGGGAGGTGCAGAGACTAAGAACAAAAGGACATGAAAGGTGCTAAAGAGCTCAGGGTATCAAGAGATGAGATTTTAGGGAGGCACCTGTGGCTCAGTGGGTAGGGCACCAGCCCCATATACCGAGGGTGGTGGGTTTGAACCCAGCCCTAGCCAAACAGCAACAAAAAATAATGAAGTGTTGTGGCAGGCACCTGTAGCCTCAGCTACTCGGGAGGCTAAGGCAAGAGAATCACCTAAGCCCAGGAGTCAGAGCTTACTGTGAGCTGTGACGCTACAGCACTCTACCGAGGGCATTAAAGTAGACTCTGTCTCTAAAAAAAAAAAAAAAAAAAAGATGAGATCTTAAAGACTAGGCGAGAGAGGACTGGGAAACTGTCTCTCCTGACAGCACTTAGAATGAGGACAGCTGGCTCGGCCCCTATGGCTGAAGCGAGTAAGGCACCAGCCATGTACACCTAAGCTGGTGGGTTCAAATCCAGCCCAGCCCGCCAAATAGCGATGACGGTTGCAACCAAAAAATAGCCAGGTGTTGTGGCAAGTGCCTGTACTGCCAGCTACTTGGGAGGTGGAGGCAAGAGAATCGCTTGAGCCCAGGAGCTGGAGGTTGCTGTGAGTTGTGATGCCACAGCACTCTAGGGCGACAGCTTGAGGCTCTGTCTCAAAAAAAAAAAAAAGAAAGAGGGCAGCCACTACACCCTGATGGGGGTTGGGGATACACATCAAAGTTGGGGCTGGGGAAGAGGCAGGGCTGGGGGAGGGGCAGTGCTGCACTGTAGTTGTCTCACTCAGGCTCATAAGAGCTGTTAAGTTCTTAGGAATGTGGTGAGCAGTTGTTAAACATGGCTTTTATTAAAATTAAATAAGCTATATGCAAAACAAAGTACTTATAACTTAATAAGTACTTATAAACTCATCACTTCTTTTTTTTTTTTTGAGACAGAGTCTCAAGCTGTTGTCCTAGGTAGAGTGCTATAGCATCACAGCTCACAGCAACCTCTAACTTTTGGGCTTAAGTGATTATCTTACCTCAGCCTCCCAAGTAGCTGAGACTACAGGTGCTCGCCACAACACCTGGCTATTTTTTGGTCGTCAATGTTGTTTGGTGGGCCCGGGCTGGATTCAAACCTGCCAACTCTGGTGTATGTGGCTGGCACCCTAGCTGCTTGAGCTACAGGCACCAAGCCACTTCCTAAGTATTTTACTACATTTTACTATTATCTACTCTTGAGCTCATTTACATCTACCATGTTGATAGCCTGAAATCAGCCACAGTAAGACTCTTTATATCACAGAAATAAGTACAAATGCTATTAACCAAAACTTATTTTTCCAGAGAGTCAGTTGTTAAACATTTACCAGCACACCTCTAAGAGGCTGCGGGGAGAGGCACTGGCAGCTGGTAAGGAGCTGATCTTGTATGGCATATGAGATGAAAGGTCAGCTTCAAGGGTCAAGAAATGAGATATATTAGTTGCAGAGAAAAATGTGGGAAGGAGAGAGTTTCTCTAGGACTGGGCAATACTCACAGGAACTCTTTGGACAGCCAGAGACAACAGGTATTTCCCAAAAGTGTGCAGGGGCCATTCATGCTCTTCAACCAACTCCTGAAGGAAAAGTACTTGCATTACCCAGTTGCACAAGAGATCAATAAGCAACAGACATCAAAATGTACATGGGAAACCTTGAAAAGTGTATATATCCATGTCTTTACTAAATATTTAGCTGATCCCAGGCTTCTGTCCCTCATATATTTTTGAGTAGTGAGGGTAGGTGTCTGACCCGAACTTGAGCCTGGAGCTTGATGGCGGTCTTCAGGATACCTTCTTCTGCCTTAAGTACCATATTCTTCCAGGTGCCTCTTCCGCAGAGCAGGAGATCTGCATGCTCTGCCCTTGCAATCATCATTCCAATCAACAGCAGCACATAGTTCAGGGGGGGCTGATTGGACAAACATCAGGATTAAATAAAACTTCCCTATTTTGGAATTCACCCTTGCCCACCCAGCCCTAGAGACAAAACACCTCCATTGGTTTGGAAGAAGGGAAAAGGGCACAATATTCCCAGTTAGGAGGGTCAGCTTCGGCAGCTGACTGGGCAGGGGATGGAGAAAGGCCAGGATCCCTGCTCAAGTTCAACACTGGGATGTAGCAAGGTGACAGTACAACATATTTTAGCAATTAAAATTTAGAGAATTCTGCGTACTGGCAAATGTCAGATATTATAATTATAATCCCTAAACAGGGCCAGGCGCAGTGGCTCATGCCTGTAATCCTAACACTCTGGGAGGCTGAGGTGGGTGGATTGTTTGAGCTCAGGAGTTTGAACCCAGCCTGAGCAAAAAAGCAAGACACCATCCCTAATAAAAATAGAAAACTAGTCAGGCATTGTGGCAGGTGCCTGTAGTCCCAGCTACTTGGGAGGATGAGGCAAAGGGATCACCTGAGCCCAAGAGTTTGAGGTTGCTGTGAGGCAGGATGCCATGGTACACTACCCAGGACACCCA